ATGTTTTTGTATGCATTAATAGTTCATTCCTTTTTATTGTTAAGCAGTATTGCGTGGAATGGCTATATCACAATTTGCTTATCCATTTTCCTTTTGAGGTACATTTGGGTTGTTCTCAGTTTTTTGCTATTATGAATAAATCAACTATCAGTATTCCCGTACAGGTCTTTTTGTGGACACATTTTCATTTGTTTTAGTTAAATAGCGAGGGATAGAACTGCTAGATCATAAGTTAGGTGTATATTTAACCTTATAGGAAACTGCCAGACAGTTTACATCATGCACTCTTAACTAATGAGCCTGATTACCTATGACCTGAATGCTTCTACATTTTTTCTTTCATGGTGTGCTTTTGTCTTGAATTGCGTCGATAGGATATGAGTATACATCCTTCTGAAATGTATCCTTAAGAATGAGACCTTGATTAACTATATCATTTTAGGGGTTCTTTAACACTTCTGAGTTGTTTATACAAACAGCTTGGAATCTGAAAGAATCATATTGGAAAACTGGGATGATCTCTTTTGTGAATCTCTCCCATAATTTTCTTTATTATCTTTTAAAATATTTGATACATGCAAAAATATGTATAACATATGTGTTAGTTATAAAGCATAATTACAAAAAGGAAATCTGAAAATCCACCACTCAATCTGAGAATAAACATATTTCCAAGAACATCACATGTGCCTATGGGCTTCTCCCCACCACGTCCCAGAGGTAACCAGGATCTTGGATTGTGTGTTCTTTATTAATCCTCTTGCTAAAATAAAAGCAAAGCAAAATAAAACAAAAATATTTTACCATGTGTTTAATTCTCTTGCTTTAAAAAATTTGCCACATATTTTTTGTTTTCCTTGATTTTAAGAGCTTTATCAAATGGTGTCATGTGTATAGTTTTTCAGAACTTGCATTTTTTTACGTAACATTGTGTTTTAAAGATCTTCCCATGTTGTGTAGTTTATTCACTTTTGCTGCTGAATAACATTCCTTTCTGGAAATATATTACAACATATTGTGTTACTAGTGATACTTGTCAATTGTCATTTGTGCAGTTTCTCATATTTTTACTTGGTATATATTACCTTCTTGGGGAGTCTGGTACAGTTAGCAGAATAATTTGAGATAAAACTGTTTTCAACTAAACAGTTTTTAAAAAATGAAAATGAGCAACCAGTTTCTGCTCCAAAAGAAGGGAAATTTATAAGATACCTGGGGAAAATTGTATAAAACAAAAAAGTGTGATACATTGTCAGTGCGGTTGTAAATCAAAGATGATAATTAATGTTTTACTACATGATTTTATTTCTAAGGTTGAAAGAATAAGTTTGACTTCAGTATGTAGAATGTAATCATTGAAGAAAATAAAAATCACCTTTTTTGTCTATGTGATCAACTTAGAGCTGAAAGGCAACCTAAATTTTGATTCTTTTTTCTAAATATTAAGCTACATAATAATAAGCATCTAACTTCACTGCCTAAAATAATTTAATCTTACTGATTTTCTACTACTTTAGGAAAACACAAACATTTAAAAAATTCACAAATGAAAAATCATTTTAGTAAAAAAACCCTTACAATTTAAATATCTATGCATTACTCCATATACTTCATGTTCTTAGGGACAATTGAATGGGCATTTTTATTACTAATACTAAAAATATACGGTGGATTATTTAAAGATTTTATATTAACATTAGCCTTTTAAAATCAGCTCTAAACTTTTGTCTAAATTTACAAGTACGTATTTAAAAATTCTGAACACAAAATATGATGAAAATATAATATTGATATTCCTTTACATTTAACTGTAGAGTGGATCCATAGGCATCAAGACCAACCTCATGTAGGGAACTCTGAAAATATACTTAACAACTCATAGACTAAATTTTAATTATTCACATGTAGTGCCTAATTTTTAAATGATACATGCTAAAGTTTCTTTTTAAAGATTCTAATATATTTCTTCCTTTGTTAATGTCCAGAACATCTAAAACTGGAACATTTTATTTAAAATTAAACTGAATTTCAGTGAAACAAAACAATCCCATATGAATAACTCTCAAGTAAAAAAAGATTTATTTTCCTTCTATACAACTGACTCACTGAATTGAGCTAAAAATTTCCAAGGGGAAAAATGATCTAGGGAATAAATACAGGGGGGGAAAAGGCTACGTTTCCATTATGATAGCTTTTGACTTGTTTGTAGCTCTTAATTTAAAATATTATTTACTAACGGTGGGTCGCATATTGTAACTCGGAAATCTTTTACAATTAGAGAGTAAAAAAAGAAATCTACCTTTCCTTTAGAACAGATCTCTTCCTACCAGACAGCCTGATTGTTTACGAGACAAACACTTCTACTCGATCTAGATATTCACAACTCTTTTATTAGCCATCTTGTTTTTATTTATTATTGACAACAATTAGCCTGAGTCATGAAACCGGACCATATTAAAGGCGACACGTGGTCCAATCACTATTTTTAAAAGTCCACGTATTTCAAACTCCTCTCTCCAGCCATTGCTGAGCTGTTTCCCCCTTTGAGGACCTGGTCTCCGCCGCATTTATTCATTAGATGGCAGTGCTAGGGCAGTCTCGCTTTGGGGAAACCTCTCCTTGGGTACATTCAAGAAAACCACAGAAGCGACTTGGGGTTGGTGCTGGTTTCTAGTCACTTACATTGCAAAGGAAGCAAGAAGGACGTGCCCGGGAGGACCCGAGGCAGGTGCGGGTGGGTTTCCGCAGTGACCACTGATCACGCGTGTGTGCGGCGCGTCCTCGGGTCCCGATCCCAGCCCGGAGACCCATCGGGGCGCCGGGCCCCTACGCCTTCCTCGGGGGCCCCTCGGACACACCCCCTAGCCTCGGGGGCTTGGCAGCCCCGCACAGTGCACGCCCCTTGCAGCTCCCCGCAGCCGCCCACGTGGTGGAGGCCCGAGCAACGCGAGGCCGCGAGGAGCTCTCTGGGCGGGCCGTTGGTCCTGGAGGCCCAGCCAACGCGACCCAGCCCGGCCGGCCCCCACTCCGGGCCCCCATATTTCCTCTCCCGGAGGGAGGGAGGCGACACTCCGCGGGCCAGCCCTCCCCGGCGCCTGCTGCGCCCTCTGGCGGCCGCCGCAGGGACGCGCCCTGGGCACGCGGGGCAGCCTGTCTGGGCCCCGCTTCCCCAGCTCGGGGCGGGCGGCGGGCCGTCTCCCCTCGCGTCCCTGGGCCGAGCGACGCGGGCCGCACCCTTTCCCTCAGCTCCCCGCGAGCCCCGGGACTCTGGGCTCCCCAGTCGCGGCGCTGCGGCCGTCCCAGCCTTGCGTGCAAGTGCCCGCCTTAGTAGCCTGGGGGTCTCCTTTCTCCCAGGTGTGCCCCTCCCGTCACGTTCGGGCTTTCCAGCCTGCTGCGAAAAAATGCCGCATGCACGCACTTATTTATTTATTTTGCAACAGCTGCAAGAAACAATGAAGCTTTTCAAGAACCGGGGAAACGCGCTTTCCAGCCGCGCTGTTGTTTTCAATGAACCTCTCGGGCCCCGCACTCTCCGCCCACCCCGCCCCCTACCCTCCTCCCCTCATCTCCTCCCCGGCCAGTCCCTCTGTCCACCCCAGCCGGCGCCGGGGGCATTGTTTTTGGAGTCTTGCGGGAGAGGAGAGCGCGTGCAGGCTGTGGCCGGCGCAGTGCGGGTGGGGGCGAGAGCGGGTGGACGCGCGCGCGCGTGTGTGTGCGCGCGCGTGTGCTGGCGCGGGCGGGGG